AAATCCTACAAGATATTAAAAAAAATATATTGAAAAATATTACAAAATAGAAAAAGACCATTCATGAATTTTCCAGAAAATCCCTTTCTACGTGTTTGCAATCGGGTCGTTTTTTGTTGATCAAATTCTGCAGGGAGGACGGATGGCTAGCGATGCTAATGTTAGCCACACTCAGCAAACCAAACATGCAGAGTAATGCACTCTGCAAACTGGTTCTGACTGTGTTGAAATAAATTGTGCACTTTTTTCTGAGCGTTTTGTTTTTTTTAATCTTTAGACGTATTGAAACGACTGAAATTCAATTTCTGTTTACTTGACAGAAAAATGAGTCGCTATAGCAACATCTCTAGTTTGTATTGAGGTTTTAAGAGCTTTTATTTACATTCAGGTTTTCTAGTAAGACTCTCATCTTTAACGTCATACATGCTTTTTGACTATCCTGAGGCTCTGATGGTTTGTTTGAATGTTTTGTAATTTAACTCGTCGTCTGATAAACGTAATCCCTTCATTATCTTCACACTCAGGGAAACATAAAGGCAACAGTGCCGTGCTAAGTCACGACTAACTCTGCAGCTGTGAGCAGCCGGTGAAGAAAGTCCTAATTTTAACGCGGGGGTGACAACTGTCCAAAGATTGATGGAAGGCGATAAGACCCGAGAGCTTTGATGAGGGGTTTTGTCTGATGACGGAGGAGAGAGAGCAAACGGAGCTCAGTCACAGAGATAAATTATTTCAGGGAATAAAGAAATGCTGGGGAGTTCACCCAAAGGACGGCTGGACTCTGCCAAAGCATTGTCTGCAGAGAGGTTACATCCGAGTGGGTTTGGCTTCCTGAGGGTTGATTAGGTAAGAGTCTGCTGCTGCGGGCTTTAGACGAGTGGATAAAGTTTCTCTGCAGGCCGCTTCAGGAGAGTCAATCAGAATCTACCCAACCAGATATGTAAGTAAATCAAATCAATCAGTTACCAAACAGAATTATGCAACGGTAAAATAACAGCGGGGGACTTTTTCAGAAGTTACAGCAAGAGAAATGAACAAGAGTGTCTTCCTGTGTGACGATTTCTGTTGTGTTCAGAAAATGCTGCATTCAGGTGCTCCTTGGTTGATATCAGCAGGGCATAGGCCATATAGGCAATCAACCTAGAGCGCCACATGCTGGAGGGGCGCCGACGAAGCCCGTTGTTACAACAGGGATGTTAGAATATATTGCTCTGTTTTATTCTATATTTTTGTTTGAGAAGTAATTTAAACTGTTGATGGTGTTTCCAATGGCTGTTGTCCATATGTTGTGGTGACAGGATTCGAGAAGGGGTGGGGGCGCCAAATCCTAATCTCGCCTAGGGCATCAAAATGGCTGGAGCCGGCCCATGATCTCAGGTTCTGAGTCGGCAAGTGGTTCATCCGACTTTTTAATCGACGTTCCTAATGAATACTAAAACATTGCTTAAAGCTAACGTACCCGAATTCTTATTGAGGGTTAAAAACTAATTTTTCTAACAGGTCTCGGTCACTCTAACGCTGACACCAGATTTCAAACTTCTTTGGACCTTTGTCAGCCTGAACAAAATGATTCCGGTTTGAAGAGCGTTACACAAAGTTTTTAATGTCGAGCGTTCATCTTATCCCAACATTTCTTTATTTCATATTTACATTGTTTACATTTTTACTTCACACGTCCCCGTCCTGCTTTGAGTTCCTGAAGCTCTCAGCGGTCCGAGGCTTCCCTCTAATTTAAAAGAGCATCACTTCTAGAAACACGAGCAGCGTGCGTAATAGAAAATAGTTAGCGTAATTAACCCCGCAACACGACACTCTTGGGACTTCACGCCACACAGGGTGAGAAATACACGTCCAAATTACAAATGCATTTACGCCCCCACTTTCTAATTTGACTGACGGGGTCGGCCCCCCGGCTGTGACCCCGGGGTCCCGACCTTTGGCTGGGCTTTAGCTTTATGATGTGTGCATAGGCTGCTTTAAGAGGAGGGCTTCTGATCTCTGATTGGCTGCCAGGGCCCGGCAACTGACCGACCACGTGCCTGAGATATCACACACCTGCCAGGCTGCGTCTCTCACAAGGTGGCTCAGGGGGGATCAAGCAAGTTTCAATTGTGAGCCCCTCCCATGTTTCACACACAGAGACAGGACACCGACAAGGAGGAGGAAAACAAATATTTGCTGCAGAGGACCGATCTCTACAAATGATTTGTTTTGCATTCCTTAAAGAGCAGCTGAACGGTAATCAGAACAATAACATTCACACTTTCACTTCAGTTTAATTTAATGTTTTTCTATTGAATTCACTTGAATCAACCGGCATGAACGTAGCCAGCGAGGCTCAGGAAAGAAAAGGAAAGTGTATTTATTATCACCTCTCAGACATGGTTATTGTTTGACAATGACGACTTTTAAGATGGTTCCTATATTAGAGCTCTCAAGAACTGCCGTCAATAGCTTCTTATAGCTTCTTATACTGTATTATTTAAGTTGTTGCTAGTTCTGCTTTATTTCCCTGTTAATTGTTTAGCACCAATACACCAAGTCAAATTCCTTGTATGTGTAAATGAACTTGGCAATAAACCCTGATTCTGATTTTTAATCTGATTCAATGTTGTGCTTTGCCTCTGGTCACTTCCTGTCAGCACCTGTGTGTCCAATCGGACTCAAATCTGATCGTTTGCTCTTACTGACATTGTTCCCTTTTTCTAGATCTTTGCTTGTGTTGTACTTACTCTCTGATGTACGTCGCTTTGGATAAAGTGAATTGTAGAATTGTAGTAGACAGCGGGCGATTCAGCGTTCTTCACGAGGGCATTTTTATTCTGAAGGAAGGAAACAACGACCTTAATCCACTTCTGCACTTTCTGCAATGTGTTGCTCCAAAAGTTAGAACTGTTTCATCAAATCACGCGATGCGTTATGGATATGTTAGGCCAAGAGCAAGAAAACATGAACTCATGTATGAGACTAATCCTCCTCGGGGGAGTAAAGGTTTAATTCATTTATATCAAAGTTAAAATGAGTCATATTTGCTCCCCGATCATGTTAGATAAACTCATGTTTGTAAACCATTCTGCCTTTCTTCAGAAACACATAAAGGGTGTTAACATAGATCATCTATAGTTGTGGAACAGAAAACTGCCCCATGATGGGTTCTAATTGGCTGATGTTCGTCCTGTATTAAAAGCCCCTCCCGGTGTGTCTGGCGTGCGTGTGATATATCGGTCTAACGGGAGTCCGGGGAGTCTTGGAGCACCAAGTGTTGTGTTGGGAGTCAGCCGGTATAAGAGCAGTGTGCATAAAGAGCAGGGATGAGACAGAGGCACTGCAGCTCTGGGACCGTCCACAACTCTGCAGCGAGGGCGAGTCCACGCTCTGCAAAACTGTCCGCCTGTGGAGAGGAAAGGAGAGCCACGGCTGCAGGTCAGAGGCGATGTTATCATGATGACGGGCTGAGTTTGAGATCTTCACTCTGTGGTTTGTAACTGTGCTCGGTGTGAGTGCAGTTTGTGTGTTTTGGTGTTCTGTTAGCTGCTTCTGTGATCGGAGCTGTTGATTCTAAGAGTCAGTGTGTGAGCCAGACGTTCTGTTGCACGATTCAGCGAAGAGAAAAATACTTTAGAGGCCGTGACACGGGCAGGATAATGGAGTTCTGTCATATTTCACCTCTCTTTGGTCTCCTCGTGGTGTTAACATTCTTGTGTTGGTGTTTACCCTGTGAGCTCTTTGTTTGTAAAATGATATGTTCTGATTCGTCTCTCAGGCTCAATGTTGAAGGTCTTAAGTTGTTTTAAACACATTTTGCAAAAAGTTTGTTTCAGTTTGGCAACTCTTCGTTTTTAAAATGATATGTTCTGATTTGTCTCTCAGGCTCAATGTTGAAGGTCTTAAGTTGTTTTAAACACATTTTGCAAAAAGTTTGTTTCAGTTTGGCAACTTTATTTTTCATGTTTTGAAAAACCTGAATCTTGTTTTTGTCCTTTTTGGCATTTCACTCTAAAAACTACACTCAGGTAATCCTCACGTTGGATCATTAAAACAGAAGAAACACAGTTAATGTTTGGACAAGTGGTTAAATATAACGCTTACTTGAATTAACAGACATGTTTTTAAATCGAGCGGTAAGATCAGCCGTCATCTGGTCGTTTGTTTTGACACATGTCTGTCATGAAAGAAAGTAAATAATGTGCCTTTTGTTGATTCTTACATCTCCTGTTTAATCTTCATCATGAATGTGGTTGATAAGAGAAACATTTATGGTTTTCAAGTTGCAGGTCAGCTAATTGAGTGAGGGAGAAGCCGGAGTTGGTTATGCAGCATTGCAAGCAGCTGAAATAGTGTGACCATGTTGTCAGACTTCTGAGCAGGGTCGGTCTCACTACCCTGAAGTTGGCAGAAGAAATACAAAAACTTTCATTTGAGGATCACTCTGGGACCCAAATCTCTGCGCTCCATGAGACCGGCTGGTACAACATGAATCATTAAAATCCAGGAAGGGCTGCTCACTCAGAAAGTTGTTTTTTTCTAAGCTGGTTTTTAATTCATCAGGTTTTTTCTTGGCTTTCCATTAGCAGGAACACATACAAGTTTGAACACCAAGCTGAGGACACGGTTCTTCGTATCTCAGTTTTCTTTTCTTTTTTTCAATTTAAGGAAAAAAGCTGAAGTTTAACTCAACAACTCCAATACACAACACAGTTTCAAGGCCACTTTTTGTTGACGGTCTCGGTCTCGGAATGGAAAGCATTTTTACTCTGCCTTGTCTCGGTCTGGACAAACTAATTGCTGCCGATCAGTGGTTGAATGTATAAAGGCTCTAGTCCATGGCAATCAGGGGAAAACAAGCAGAAAACACTTCAAACTTTATTAAAAAACAGGACAAAGGACGCAGAAGACCCACTGCCGGTTGCTGCATGAGTGTGCGCGCCCAGAGCTTAGTCTAAATCTTTGAGTTTCTTTCATTTTGCTAAGCCTCACTTCTCTTTCTCTCTGCTCTCCAGGATACTCCGAATGGCCCGGTATTAACAGATCCACGACTCTACAGAGGACTTAACTCAAGTCTGACTCCACCTTGACTGTCACTGGTTATGAAAATCTGCACTCCAACACTGAAACGGTAAATCCAGACGCCATTTTAAACTAACTGATGTCTTGTCTTGCCTTGACTTTTGCTAGAAAAGGCAGGACGAGTTAATTTATAGAGCTCCATTCATACTTTAGAAATTCAAAGTGAAAAACAAAATGTTTAGAATTTTATGAGCATTACATGTAAAAAATTGAGCAAAATCAGGGGCCATAGAATGAGGGTAATAAGGGCCTAGTTATAGTGCTCTGAAGTCACTAACTACAGAGTCTTCACCTGCTCGTTTTAACTAACCAAAAAGGATTCTGTCCACCCCAGAATGGGGGGGGGGGGTGGCGCTTTAAGGACTTGGGTTGGGAACTGGAGGGTCGCCTGCGGACCAAAATATGGAAGTTGGTTTGGTGGCTGGAGAGGTTCCAGGTCACTGCCAGGTGCCCTTGAGAAAGTCTCTGAACGCCCAACAGCTCTGCCAGCTCCCCATGTAGCAGCTGCACTCTGACATCTCTCTATTAAAGCATGTCCACAGGTCATGTGTGTTTTTTTGGCATCTGTGTGTGTGAGAAGCATGTCTCTCAATAACAGAGTGTAAAAACATAACTCCCCCCCCCCCCCGAGGATTTAGACTCAGCCCCGGGCTGCCTGGAAACACCCTGCAGGGGTGATGTGGTGACAAAACCATCCCACAGTCTTTACAAATTGCTTACTTAATTTTTTTAATAAATATTTAGAAATATATTTTTCTTTTCCTTGTGTTAGATCTTTCATTTATTTTTGTTTTTTTTGTTTGGAGTAAATCATTGCTAAACTAACATCTTTATGTCTGTGTCTCATCGCAGGCTGGGGGTAAGATGTTTGTGGAGTCAGTCGTCAGATGGGGCGCGTGGAGCATCCTGCTCCAGTTGGGACTGGGTGTTTCTGCAGGAAGCTGTCCTCCACGCTGTGTGTGTCGACCTGAGACAAAAGAAGTGATCTGTTCAGGCAAACACTTGAACTCAGTGCCAGAGGGCTTTTCCGGTGATGCCAGGCGTTTGGATTTATCCCACAATAAGATTAAGACTGTGGGGCGCCGCCAGTTCTCTGGGCTCCAGCAGCTTCAAGAGTTGGATCTCAGTGATAATCTAATCTCCATGATTGAGGTGGAGGCTTTCCAAGGCCTACAGAGCCTCAGGACGCTTCGGATTAAGAATAACCGACTCAAGATCATCCCGGTTGGGGTGTTTTCCGGCCTGAGCAGTCTGCGCTTTCTGGATTTGAGTCAGAATGAGATTCTGGTATTTTTGGACTATACCTTCAGAGAAATGGTGAACCTCCAAACACTGGAGGCCGAGGAGAACGACTTGGTGTTCATCTCCCAGAGGGCTTTCTTTGGACTGCAGAACCTGCAGGAGCTCAACATAGACCGCAGTAACCTGACCTCCGTTCCCACCGAGGCGTTTTCCCAGCTCCAGAATCTGGCGCATCTCCGCATGCTGCGCCTCACCATTTCTTCCTTGTCCAACAACGCTTTCCGACGACTCCACCGACTGCGTAGCCTCGTGATTGCAAACTGGCCAGCTTTGGACACAGTGGCCAGCAACAGCCTGATCGGTCTTAATTTGACCTCCCTCGTCATCAGCAGCTGCAATCTGAGTGCTATTCCTTACTCAGCACTTCGTCACCTTGTGTATCTGCACTTCCTGGACCTGTCCTACAACCCCATCACCGTTATCCAAGGTCATCTGCTCGGGGACCTCCTGAGACTCCAGGAGCTACACCTTGCTGGTGGGAGCCTGCTGAGAATAGAGCCCGGGGCCTTTAGGGGCCTGGCATACTTTCGCATGCTTAATGTGACATCCAATCAGCTTACAACTTTGGAGGAGAGCGTCTTCCACTCTGTGGGGAACCTGCAGGTGTTGCGGTTGGATGGGAATCCGCTAGCATGTGACTGCAGGCTCCTTTGGGTTGTCAGACGCAGATTGCGCTTGAACTTTGATGGACGTCAGCCCACATGTTCGTCGCCGGACACGGTGAGGCAGCGTGAGTTCAGAGACTTCTCCGAGAAGGAGCTCCCGAGGTTGTTTACCTGCCGACCTGCTCGTGTCATGGACCGCAGGCCGCAGGAGGCAAGAGTAGAGGAGGGAACTACGGTTCTTTTTTCCTGTAAGGCTGAAGGGGATCCAGCCCCGGCCATCACCTGGATCTCATCCCATAGAAATGTGGTTACGGCAACAGGACGAATCAGGGTTTTGCTGAATGGAACTCTAGAAGTGCGTTTTGCTCAAGTTCAGGACAGTGGCACGTATCAGTGCCTGGCGGGGAATGCAGCCGGCAATGACAGCCTGACTGTTGGACTGTATGTGAAGGGGCTCCCTCGTAACAGAACCATCCCCTACCTGTCAGAAGAGGCCTGGGCCGAGCCTTCAAATCCCCAAGCGGCCAACTCCTCAGCACAGATGGCCAAGCCATACCCGTTTGATGCCAAGACCCTCATCATCGCCACCACCATGGGCTTCCTGTCCTTCCTCAGCTCGGTAGCCATTTGTTTTGTTTTCATGTTCTTCTGGAGCCAGAGCAAAGGTCAGATCAAGCATACGGCGACCATTGACTTTGTTCCCCGGTCTTCCATGGGGGGAGGAGGGGATGGAGGTGACGGTGGCCGGTTCACCATGAAACTTATTTAAAGCCAAGGAAGAGGGGGAAGGGGTCCTTTTAGTGACTGTGACATTGCTCCTCTGCACTGTGGAGCCCTGATGGGACACTGGAGGACAGAGACCTGTATTCAGAGGCCCCCTTTGGAAGGCAAATCAGAACTGGTTTGTTCTCTTCTAATTTTAGAGTGGAAAGTTACATCTCAGCACCCACTTTGCTGTGTTATCTAACTAATGAATATGTCATGATCCTGGAATAGAAAGATGTAAAAAGGTTGTAGGCAGAGCTTTCTTGGACTGAATAAACAGACGAACACTGAACTAGCACAGGCTGAGTTTTCTATGTAGCATGTAATAATTCTTTTCACGTATTATTGGATTTACACTCGAAGGCCGTTCGGGGTTTCACACATTCATCAAAAGTTTTCGACATTGTTGAAACACACCAGGTGCTTGTTTATCCATACTGTACAAGTGTGATCAGCTCTTTGTCTTCAATTGCTTTGACAAGGCTTAAAAACATTTGCCCCCTCGACCCCTCCGGTTGCTATTTCTGCTTTGCCACAGGGGATCATGCTGAAGACTGCTACTTCAGCACGAGCTGCAAGACTCTAACATGTGAGAATGTGACTATGAAGTACTTGTAATAACAACATGGAATGGACTGGCCATATAAATTTTAATTCTCATTGTTATGGTTTTATTTGGTATGCTGCGCTGCAATGGAACATCACTCTCTGTCACGCTGCAAAAACTCAAATCTCAGCAGGAGGAATCGTCTGATTTCTAATCTTAAATATCACATTACAATCATTATAGCCGCATTTATCTGACAGTTCCAGACAAACATCTTATTTCAAGATATTTGAGAAATAAAGAAAAAAAGCCTGAATAGCATGTGATAGGTAAAAATAACCAGCCGAGGGGGCAGGAAATTCTACTTGTCGGGTATCTTGAAATGAGATGTATCATTTAAATTAGTCCATATGTCTCCATTCAAGACATTCGTCAAATGTTCTTGCCCCGGATCTTATAGTTTTTAGAAGCATTTCTGGCCTTATTTTGTTCTTTTTATAGCTTTAAGGAGCAGTATGTAAGTCTGACACCTAGTAGTTAAAATGGGTACTGCAGTCCAAATTCTAAACATCATAGAGAGCTGTCTCCCCCCCCCGCCTCCTCTCTAGAGTCGATGCTCACACAGGTTGTCATGTGGTGGACACTGTAGCTTCAGTGTTTATCCAGCTCTGCATCGGTCTGTAAACCTTTCTGTGTTCTAACCTCTCTCCATTTTTTAAAAGCATCTCCAACATTGATCCTAGTTTGAGCACGTTTCTGCTGGTGGAGCTTATTAGAAACATGCAGAGGCTTTTTAGGTCGGGTACAATCACTTCTATCTGAACCAGTTCTCTTGCCCGCTTCCATCGCTGCAACACCTGTTGGTTTGACCTGATAACTGCTCTCATATCTGGCAAACCGAGGGGCGTCCAAAACGGCTGTGTGGGGGTAGCCTTAAAACCGCCTACCTTCTGTGGTCCAAACAAATCCAGAGCATTCAGGACCAGAATCTAAAGTTAGAAGGAGGACATACTGGATGCTGCATTGTTGTCAGAGAAGCCAGCACTTCAACAACAGCATGTTTCCTTAATGTCTGATCATATAGTAAGGTCACTTTATCATTTCACTGATTGGACCTTTAGATTAAGATGTTTATCTCGACGTGTGACTAGAATGATTACAGTGATATATTTTCGACTAGAAATCAGACTAGTATACTTGTCAAAGATTTAGGTTTTTGCAGGTTATGGTAAATCTTTGAATGAACATGCAGCAGTGGAAATGATTGATAGCGTAGTATTATGTACATACTGTAGGAATGATCCCTTCCCCCCTCCATACTTAAAAGTAAGTTAGCCGGGTCTAAATTGGATCCCTGATCGTCCCTGAAACGTATTATTTCTGCCTGTTACATCGGATCATGCTTTGTAGCATCTGAAGATGCTCCGATTTCTCTTTTTTATATTTAAGAAACCACTTTTGTATTTTTCACACAACACAGAAAAATAATGTGCCTCAGTATCATTCTCACCGTGGACAGAGAGAATGCTCACCTGATCATTGTCATCGTGTACATATTAAGGTCAAGGGCGTTTGTGTGCGCTGGCTTTATTCTATCATTTTATCTAGTTCTGGGGATTAGCGTCACTCAAACACGGCACTCTGGCCGTGTGTGTAAAGGTGCAGACGCTCTACACACCGAGCAATGCTTTGTTTTGCAGAGATGGAAATGCTGCACTCAAAAAGCACTGACAGCTTTGTTTGTTTGCTCCCTTCTTCATGAATGGCTTGTTTTATTAAATGCCTACATTCAAACTTTAACTGTGTGTGATGATTTGTTTTGAGATTGTTTCATGTAAGATTTTCTGAAAGCTTTCAAACAGTTGTGAAAAAAAAACAATCCAATCATCTTGAAAGCAATCTCTCAGTGGATGTGCGTCTGAAATCTTTCCATTGTTGGGATATTTGGCAAGAGAGGAGCACTTTTCTTGCATAACCAAAGCACTTAATCTCCGAGCTGCGAGTCCATTGTGAGGACTTTGTGTTCGATTTGAGACAGAAAGTGGCCTCGTTGCCCCTCAGACAGACAATAAAGCTTCGTCTGGCAGTGAACCACACAAGTGTATGTTTTTCTTTCTTTACTGAAGAGAGACGGAGGATTATGTATGCAGAGGAATACCACTGTGTCTGCTCTCACTCATAGTCCTGCAGGGGCGCCACCAGGATTTCACTGTCTCAAATTTTTTTTCACTGAAAATTAGGCCCTATGTTCCCACAGCCCTTTGTTCCCACATTTCTAAGATTTTTCTCAAAATTAAACCCTATGTTCGCACATTTCTAGGACATTTTCAAAATTAGGTCTTGTGTTCCTACATTTCCCTTCAATTTAAGCCCTATCCTCCCACAAGACGATGGTTTGCGTCCAGTTGCTGCGCTTCATTCGACTGATCTGACCGGAAGCTAGTCAATGCGAGGCCTCTGTGCTACTTAGTTTAGTTTGTTTATTTAAAAGGACAATGTGCACTTACATTAAATGTTTGCAATAAACAAAGAGATGGGCGCACCAGATTTAGGTAAAAGCTACATTCCATCTGTAGTCCATTGCTACTGGATAATAGGTTGGGTGTAATTGGCTACCAAATTGGGAGAAAGGGGGATAAAATCTGATACAAATTTATGAAAAAGGAAATGTGGGAACATAGGCACGCTCCCATCTTGCACTGTCCCGCATGATTCTGTAACTATCCCGGGAACTCCTTGCTCTCGGGCCTCCTGCTGCCCGGCGGTGCTGCACCGGCTGCGCTTCTGAGAACGCGGCCTGTGGATGTTGACGGACGAGGGAGTACAGACCCGTAACAGAAACACAATGCACACGTATCTGGTGGAAGTTCTGGGGTGCACAAATGGCTCAATACAAGCTTCGATTAAGGTCTTCCAAATGTCCCTCCCTTAATACTTGAAGAAAGGTGCATAAGAGGTTTGAGAGTCAGGGATCACACCAGAACTGATTCTCTCTCTGAGAATCTCTCTCTTACAGCAGAACACGAGTTAAGATGTAGAGTCAGGTGGGTAATTCAGCTTGAGAGGTTTTCTTTTTTCTCTCTTCAATTTCATCGTCTCATGTTAGGACCTCTCGTCACGCTTCGTCTCCTCACAGACGAGCTGTGTGGAAGACCACCTCCATCCAGAGCGGGTCAGTTCTAATGAGTCAGAGATAAGTGAAGTGCTTGAGACAGTGAGGGCTGCCAGAGGAGGAGTTAATAGAGACATTCTTTAGGCTGGCAATCGCTGAAGCTATCGCTCCGAAGGAAAAGTAAGACGGTAAATGTCTGAAAGATGGAGGGAGATCCAGAGAGGGTCCGTCTTTGAAGAGAAACAATCGACAAATACAACCTGTCATATTTGTCTTTTGTGTTTTAAATCGGTTTCTCAAATTACAAAGAAAACTGGAAGTCAAGTCTAATGAACGTGTTTCTCTAATTGCATCTCTCTGAAGCTGCAGCCACCGTTTCCGTTTGCTGCTTTTAATTTAGTCGACTTAACCAGTTAGGCCTATTCCGCTGTCGCTCTGGATAACAGCATCAATGTAAATGTAAAATGCATCGTGGTGTAAGGAAACCCCCCCCCCCCGCCCCCCGCCCCATCTTCAAACCAGAGGAGGAGCCTGAAAGTCGTCTAACAGCAGATGCAAAGAGACCATAATGTTCTGGGTGCATGTCAGTCAGGGAGGGGGGAGGGGCTTATAAACACCACTTTAATCTGCCCCTTTGGCTTTCTGTCCAATGGGAGCAAAGAGTTGTATTAAAATAGATAATGTGAGAGGCCAAGCTGCGCGGGGGATAGCACCCGCCAGACAGACCTATATAACAGAGTGAGACAAGCAGAGGTAATCCACAGGGTTTAAATCTCTGTTCGTGCACATGATTATCAGCGAGGGTTTTTTTTTCTTCTTTTGGGTTAGTCCAGGCAACTGCATTAGATGGACAAAATGATTTTCTATTCAGTGATTCAACTCTGAGCACGGCAACTCTTCAAACTGTGCTAAGCAGAAGGCAGCCCAGCTCATTGGCTCTTCACTCTGAAGTGTGTTTCTCTGTTTTATTGTTGACGGCAAATCTGCAGAGGGAGGATACGCTGCAGCGAAAACACGACATGTCAGTAAATGTCTGAAGACTTTCATTCATATTTCAGCTCGGGTACACTCTGACATGGGCGTAGCAGGGGGGGTGGGACTGACTACCCAGGGCTCCGTTAAAGGGAGGAAGGGGTCTTTATGGGCCTGAAATGAATACATATAGTGTTTGTTTAAATTTGTTTCTCTGCATGTGAAAACTGTAAGAGTAAAGGTAAAATGGGCCAAATAAATGAACATGATTATGAAATCTTAGCAATCAAAATAAATAAATGAAAACCAGAGAAGCCATCGCTGGAAGCGGGCAAGAGAACTGGTTCAGATAGAAGTGATTGTACCCGACCTAAAAAGCCTCTGCATGTTTCTAATAAGCGCCACGAGCAGAAACGTGCTCAAACTAGGATCAATATTGGAGATGTTTTTGAAAAATGGAGAGAGGTTAGAACGCAGAAAGGTTTACAGACCGATGCAGAGCTGGATAAACACTGAAGCTTCAGTGTCCACCACATGGCAACCTGCATGAACATCAACTCTAGAGAGGAGGGGCCGGGGGGGGAGACAGCTCTCTACAATGTTTAGAATTTAGACTGCAGTACCCATTTTAACTACTAGGTGTCAAAGTTACATATGCTCCTTTAAAAGCTTATTGTACACTTCCAAAAATTTACTTCCAGGCACACGTTTTTGACCCAATAAAAAAGTCTCTGTGACCCACTTTCAGGTCTTGATCCTGGCACTAAGACTCAACCTTCTACAGTGGAAGACAGGATGCAGCTTGTCAAAGACGACTCTTCATGAGCCATGTCCTGGTTTTCTCTCAGTTGGATTTGGGGAATGCTGACATGGAATCGTCACAAAACAATTTGATTTAATCCGCTTTTGAGTGTCAAGGTCAGTACCAAATATCATTTCCATCCAATTTTCATCCAGCGGCTTTCAAGATATTATTCTTTGGAGAAAAGTGTTGGACTGGCTGACAAACCTCAACAGGGCCACAAAAATGTGTTTCTGACATGAGGTTGGATTTCTTTGTTCATGATGAACTCGGTTTTTAAAGGTGAGGTATTTCAAAAATGCTGCAGGAATTCTGTTTTGTGCAAAATAAAAATATCAGTGACCTCATGTCTGAATCTGTATTATTGAGATTTAGAAGAAGAAAACATTCTTTATTAATCTTGCGACGGGAAATTCAATTTTACACTCTGTTGTTGAACACACTACACATACACATGCAGAAACAGGATCCTAAGGACAGACTAATGTAGAGATGTCAGAGTGAGGGGGCTGCAAAATGCGATGATCATGTGCGGGTGGGTGGGTGGGTTTGGTGCCTCACTCAATGGCCGCTCTGCAGTGCTCAGGAAGTGACCTGGCACCTCTCCAGCTACCACACCAATTTCCAGACTTGGTCCGCACCTGGACTTGAACCTGCGACCCTCCAGTT